CCGAGCTGCCTGTGGCTGCGGAACTGCGGGCAGCAGGATGCCGGCAAGTACAGCTGCAGGGCCCAGAACGAGCGGGGCCAGGCCTGCTGCGAGGCCGTGGTCACAGTGCTGGAGGTCGGAGGTAATGGGGAGGGAGGGGCTGGGTGGGTGATCAGAGGTAGAGGACTGCCAGGGCCACGTGCATTCATCCAGACTTCTTCCCAGGTGCTTTGGCGTCTCAGCTGCACTGACCCAGAAGTGCCCACCAAGAGGAAAGTGCAGGGAAAGGGGTGTCAAGGTAGAGAAGCTCCCCACAGGAAGGTCAGAGGTCATGGGTCAGCAGTGGGTAAGCAAAGCCCGAGCCCCACTCAGGCCTCTCTGGGGATTCCATAGTGGACACCTTCATAGTTTCCCCGCAGCGAGAGGCCACCTGCAGAAAATCATCTTCATCAGCTCCAGTAACTTAGACTTGAGATTCCTGATCAGCTCCTGACAGGTGTGTGCACCCCTGGTCCAACTGCAATGTTGAGGGGATGGGTCAGAGCTCCTTGCAGTCTGTTGCTGGGGGAGGTTGGTATGCTCAGCACCAGGCTGGTCGGAAGAGGCCAGTGGGTGGATGAGTATGAATAAATGGGGTCCAGGGCAACAGGAGATAGGTCTGGGGGCTCCCAGGCATGTATGGAGGTGTGTGCCTGAGAACCTACATGTCAGCATGTGCTTGTGTGCATATGTGTGGGGGTTGTGGGCTGTGGAGCAGTCTGGTGGTACAAGCAGATGAGGGACAGAGGTTTGTGGAGTTGGTGTAGAAAGCCCATGGCCTGGACACACTAGCGGAGGTTTGGAGAGCGTGGAAAGGGAATGCTTAGGTGGGTGCCCGGGGCCCTGCCCCTCTTGTGTAGAGTGCTAGTCTTGTGTGTGAAGGGACCAAGGATGGTCCCAGGCAGGAGAGTGTCTGAGGCTGGGCTTGGTGCTCAGGGTCCTGTGGGTGTGTGTGCCTGACCAGGGCCCATTCTCCTTAGGTCCTTGTTGGGGCTTCCTTTTTGACCTTCTCTAGGCCAAAGGCAGAGCCTTAGGCTAACTGAGCCTTAAGAAACAGAATTCTGAGGAAATAGGCTGCAGTTAGGGGAGATGGCAACGAGCTTGGGGGAGGTCACTGAGTGTGTCTGGGCAGTTTCAAGAGTGAATTCTCACTCCAGCTGACTGGTGTCATGTAGGGGTACATCCTTGGGGGCTGAGGAGGAGGCATAGGGATATGGAGTGCCTTAGGAGCTGGAGGGAAAGAAGGTGCTAACGTGCAGCCATGGCAGGAGATGGAGCAGGGGCTCACCCTCCTTCTGTCAGCATCTTCTCTTTCCCTAGCTCCACCCTGCCCACCCTCCTACAGTCTTCAGTGACTAGTAGTTCCTTGGAGTTTCCTGAGGCCAAGCATGAGGCAGAGAAGGCCAAGGCTGGCTTCCTTGACTGGCCTTGTACTTGGCCAGGTACAGGCTTTCCCAGTCTGGAGTTAGAGAATGGGGCTCATCCTGGAAGAGCTTTGAGCTGGGGAGGGATCGGACTCCTTGGGGGATCTTAGCTCTCGTCCCCTAAGGGGATGGGAAACAGAACATAAATCGAAGGGCATGATAGATAGAGTGATGAGACTGCAGCTCAGGGAAAGGAAGTGCTGAGGAGCTTGGTGGTCACAAAGTTTGTTTAGAGCTGGAAAGAACCACAAGGAACTGAAGCTCCAGACGCCTCCTTTTACAGGTGGGGACACTGTGGTCCAGAGTGCAGGGAGATCTGCCCAAAGACATACAGCTAATTATGGCCACCCTGAATTAAGAACCCAGGTTTTCTCTCTGGAAGCTTTTTACTGCTCCAGGAGTTCTAGAGGAGGAAGAGAGTAAGCGAGGGGAGCTGTCCATTGTGTAGAGAGTAGCTCAGGCCTGGTCTTGAAGATGAGAGCCTCCTAGCCTGCCCTGGTCCCCCAAAGTAGGCAGAGTGATAGGGTACTAGAGCCCCTTTCCTTGGGGCAGGGTTGTCTTCTCAACCCCTCTGTCATCTGGGTGGCATGGCCAGCAGACTGAGCCCTGGCTGGCATATCTAGATGGAGGCCAGGGGGGATGGTCTCCAGGCTGTTCTGTTGGAACAGCATGTGGGAGAGGAAAGGACCCTGGGGGCAGTGGCACTGGACTTGGGGCCTTTAGACAGTAATGTTAAACAGGAAGAGGGTTGGGCTGCAGCAAGTCACATTTGAGAACTTTTCCCACCTGTGAAACCTTTAGCCCAAGAGCAGCTTTATAATTAATATTAATTGGTAATAATTTTTAGTAGTAACTTATAATAGTATGAATAGCTACTACGCTACTGTGTGGCAGGCAATATGCTGTCATATCGTTTGACATATCATTTAAGCCCCACGTAGCCCTGGGGAAACTGAGGCACAGAGGGATTAAGTGGCAGGTACTGCTGTACAGATAGCAGGTGGCAGAGCAGGGATGAAAGCCTTGGTTTGTTCCACTGCGAAGAAGAACCACGTACTTAACGACTACACCCCTCCCACATGATTTGGGGGAGGGAGGGGCTTTGCTTTGGTGATGTTGGGGGCTGACTAGGTGAGTCCGGCTTCTTTCTCTTCCTGTTGCCTCCTCACTCCCACCAGTCCCTGCCCAATGGCAAGTTCTGGTCAGGGGCAGCTGGGCAAGCAGCTCAGCATTGCTCAGACTTTCTCATGGAAAACGTTCTTGGTTAGGATCAACAGTGGGAGGACTTCAGGGCTCTCGAGGAAACCCAGCCAGGACCTGGATGCAGAGGGAAGGAGGCAGTTTCCTGGCTGGAACTGTTGTCTGGCTCAGCAAGATGGGGTTGATGCTGAGGTTCCTGGCACTCCTAAAGCCTGAACTGTTAGCTCAAGAATGGAGGGACAGTGCATGGCTTGGGGAGGCTGGGCCCTTGAGAAGACAAGTGGACTGAAGGATGGAAAGTTTGAAAGATGGGAAACAGAAGGTTGGGATTGAGGGCCTAGAAATAAGGAAAGAATAGGAACAGTGAAGATGGTAGAAATATAGAATCCTTAACATGTGTGAAGTACCTTATCTCATTTTATTTTTTAATTCCTTAGCCCAGGTTATTGTTATGTTATTACACATATAAGAAAACGGGGTTATAGAGGGAATTTACCCAAGGTCACATGGCTAGTAAGGTGGCAGAGCCAGATCTGAAAGCCAGGTCTCTGGGTCTAGGTCCACATTTCCTGTCAATATCCCAAAGTCATCTCCTGGCCCGTCTCCAAGACAGGCAGGCAGTCTTCTCCTTCAAAATCTCAGGTTCCCATCTGCATGTGCAAATCAAGTGACCAGAGTAAGTGCCACCCTCAAAGCTTGGGGCATGTAGCTGGAAGGGAAGGTCTGCACTAAAGGGCAGGGGGTAAGGAGGATCTGATGATGCTCACTGTTCAGCTGGAAGTTTCATAGCCAAGAAACCAGTGTCAATCGGAAGGGCCAAAGGTCAACAGATGGTAGTGAACCATGCAGGAGGTGGGGAATTTGAAGAGAGGTTAGGGACAGGGAGAAAGGGCCAGTTTATTTATTTTATTTTTTAAATATGTTTTTTTTAAAATTTATTTCAGAGAGAGGAAGGGAGTGAGATACAGAACTAGAAACATCAATGATGAGAATCATTGATTGGTTGCCTCCTGTACACCCTCCACTGCAGATCGAACCCATAACCTGAGCATGTGACCTGACCAAGAATCGAAACATAACCTTCTGGTTCATAGGTTGGTGCTCAACCACTGAGCCACACCAGCCAGGTGAGAAAGGGCCAGTTTAGACAAGGGAAAGGTGGGGAATGCACCAGAGCCTGCATTGAGGTATATTCTGCAGTTGTCATATTTTTCACCTGGAATTTGGAATGTCTGGATAAAAAGCCAGGAGGGAACCAGTATGGAGTTGGGGATAGGTATGGAGTGTCTCCATCCATGCATGCCAGGTCCTAATCAGGAGAGGAGGAGGGACCAGAGAGGAGCTCCTGAAGGAAAGAAAGAGAAGAGCAGAGAGAGCCGGAAACCAGCCTGAAGCAAGGCAGGTCCTTCCAAGCAGATCCTGAGTGGAATGTGAGATGGAAACTTCTCCAGCCATTTTTTGCAAAAGGTCTGGGTCAGGACAGAGAAGGGAGGAAGGCTGGATGAATGAGCTGCTGCAGGAAGATTTACTATCCCCATCCCCACCACCTCTTGTCCTCTCCACCTCCAGCTCTGTCATCCACTCACATGTTTATCAGGTGGCTACTGTGTGTCAGTCATTGTTCTCAGGATACATGAGTGTGGGGAGGGGGTAAAGCCCCAAACTCCTGTTCTCCTAGAGCAGTGGTTCTCAACCTTGGCTGCACATTAGAATCACCTGGGAATCTTTTTAAAATCCTGATTTCTGGGCCTCATCCTCTGGAAATTTTGTTTCTTTGTTATGGGGTGGGGCCACAACATTAGTAACAAAGAAACAGAATTTCCGGAGGATGAGGCCCAGAAATCAGGATTTTAAAACGATTCCCAGGTGATTCTAATGTGCAGCCAAGGTTGAGAACCACTGTCCTAGAGATGACACAGCATTCAATAAACATAACAAATAAGCAAAAATTATACAGTATGCTAGAAATACAGAGCTCATAAGGTTTCAAGCTCAGGGTAAGTGAAAGAAGGGAAAGGAGAAACTGAATCTAGGCATGAAAGAGAGGAGGCAAAGAGGAGGGTAGTGAGGCAGGGCATGATGACAGGGGTTTTCTCTGGTAGGGGAAATGCTGGCAGTGCAGAAATTAGAAGTCTGGGTTTGGGAAATGAGAGGGGGGCACAGCAGTACAGCCATGGAGGAAATATGGGGCAATATTGGATCTACCCTGCAAGCATGCCCCAGGTCAACCTTGTGGGGGTGAACAGAGCAGGCCCAGAGCAGGAACACAGAATCCCACAGGCCTCTGCTCAGCCCAGCTGTCCCGTCACTCACGCCCGTTGCCCATTGGTTATTTTTGCTATGGAATGTGCCAGCCCCTCGGATTCTCCTGGAGAACAGGGGCTCAGGTTACTCCCTCTCCTCACTCAGCTCCCCCATCTGTGAGTGGGTGTGTTTGGGGGTGGCAGGGAAAGGGCCTGTGGGTGGTCAGGGTCCTCTGGCTGGAAATGATATAGACACACATGTGTACCCTCTCCGCACAGGTCCCTGTGCATGTGTCTGCATGTAGAACATTTGCCTCTGGGTATCTGGGGAACTGGACCACTTGCATGTACCCAGAATGTACCAGACATGACTGTAAAGTAAAGGGGCCACAAGTAACTTCAGGGGCCAAGTGGAAACTGATCATGAGCAAGGTCCTGTTGTCAGCGGCTGAACTTGAGCATGCTTGCCCCCCCTAAAATATGTACTGTGCAGGCTGAACAAAACTCATCCTTTGGCTCTGTATTTATTTTGGACCCATGCTTTCAAGAAATAAAGTTAGGGAACCTATCAGTGTGTGAGTCTTTGTGGCATAGTGGTCACTAATTCCATCACAGTGTCTGGATTAGAGTCCCGATTCTACCAATTGTTGGCTGTGTGACCTTGGACAGGTAACCTCTCTGTGCCTCAGTCTTCCCCTTGTTGTGAGGATTTAGTGAATTTATTCATAGAAAGTGCTTAACACGCTAAGGTGCATACTAAGCATACAATAAGTGTTGATGATAATGACTCTGTAGTCACATCTCGGAAACCAGGACTGGCACTACTTGTGTATGCTGGGATGGAAATTTGGATCTGGGGGACACGTGGAGACACACAACCTGTGTGGCTTTGGCTAAGTGACAGGCTTTTCTGAGCCTTAGCCTTGTAGGTTAAATGAAGCCAGTTAACGCTCATAAAGATTTCAAGCTCATAGGGTTGTCGTGAATGAGGTAGCATTTATAAAGTGCCTGGCACTTGGTAGATGGTTAAGAAAGTTACAGTAATTGGGTGGAAAGTAGAGTTTTGTGTAGGCAAAGTGTGCATAATGCTATGGGAGAACTAAGAAAGTTTGGTGAGTACGCTCACCTGTGAGTGAGAAGATGGGTCCTATTTGTGAATAATTAGGAGAGCTTCTTGGCACCTTAGCTTGCGTGTGTGTGTGTGTGTGTGTGTGTGTGTGTGTGTGTGGAGGGGGGTGTGCAGGGATAGAGTACCTACCATCAAGAAACTCAAGAGCCCTCTCTGGGCTTTCCTGAGAAGCCTGTGGGTGTTTACAGCTGGGGCCATGTCAGCACGGAGCCCCCAGCCACGAGGAGCCTTGTCCTGTGTACGACCTAGGCGCCCTCACCAGCGCTGTGGCCTGCAGCATACTCGGCCACCAGCGAGTTGGGTACCGCCTGGCACAGGTCCGTGTGCGCATGTTTGTAGAGTGAGCAAGTCGAGATGCGCTGACCTTCCGGAGCCGTCCCGCGGGAAGCGGAAGGAGGTGGCGTGGAGGTTGCGTAGGGCTGCCAATGAGAGCGTGGCCCGATCTCTTGTGGGGGCCACTGCACCCCTTTCTGTGCCTCAGTTTCCCCATGTGTCCAGGGCCCGGGAGGCAGATGCGGGATGGGGGTGCGGGAGCGCAGGTGATAGCCGTCCCAGGAGACGCAGGGGTGCAGGCCAGGGAAGGGGCGCCGGG